ATTTCAATGGTGAAGTCCTCTGGAAATCTTCAATAATTGTTGTTGATTGCAGATGTGTCTAGTAGTTCCCATTGATTTAGCTTGTAAAGCGGGGAGAATGGCGCTAGGTTTACCGCACCGTGATGTCACTGCTGGAAGATGGCAGGAGGGAGGGGCTACTATGTTTGGGCAAAAATGGCCGCCACCAGACTCATGGATTGTGCTGAAAAATGTTGTTTTCATTTTTTTACGGATTAACGCTAAATCCATTAAATCACTGCAAACGTTTTCGTTTTAGGTATAGATGATGTCATCATCTATACCTCATCATCATCATCATAATCCATTGGTTTTTCCTTGCTGACTGGACTTTTCCTTTAATAGATGTAGATTATTTTGACTGTAGTCCCTTAATATGATAACTCAGGTTTAATAAATTCTCTTAAAATGTTAACGTCTGAAGCAACCTGCCGTTTTTTTGCCTAAAGTCTTAATTTGTTGTCTATTTGTTAACCAAGTGGTTCCCATGGTGTGTGTGTGGCGGAGAGGGGGGCATTGTTTGCATGTTTGTTGGGGGGTTTGGGAAACACCATGATAGTCTAAATTTAATCCTAAATTCTCCACAGTCAAACATCACGGTTCCTATGGGCTCCTAACACACAGAGAGAGACAACTGGAGGCTCCCTCCAGTTGTCTCTCCTTAAAGCCTTATGAGTAAGTGGAGGGGGGGGGTGTAATGGGAGGTTCTCAGTGTCTGTCATATAAATGAGCCGCTGTCATCTTTAGTTTGCTTTGTCCTCCAGTTATTGCCAGGCTACCAGCTTCACTCTCCTGCAGACGTTCATCTTGGTCTTTTCGGTTCTGTCTGCAGACACCGTCCAACAGCAAACATGGAAGCCGTCAAAAAGAAGATGCTTATGCTGAAGTTGGACAAGGAGAATGCATTGGATCGAGCCGAACAAGCTGAGGCGGACAAGAAAGCAGCCGAGGAGAGGAGCAAACAGGTCAGTCAGGACGGCAGGTGGAGGTTCTGGAACACATACAGTACAGTGGAAATTCTCACCTATCCATTTAGGGCTTTTCAAACTGTTTCACTTAAAAAAAAAAAAAAAGTCTAAAGGAGTGAAAACTAAAAGAAAAAAACACCTTATTAACAGGTCTTCCATTTTGTTACTGGAGAAAAAATTAAAAAAATTCTCAGTTTAATTAATTAAGAAACTGAACTTACCTCAAACACCAGAAAGTTCGTCCAACTTCATGGCTTAAAATGGGTTTTAGGGCTGTTGGAAAAATATTTAACACTGCAATATAGGTTAAACAACATGCACTTATGTTTTTTAGTGATTTTAGAAAACAAAAAGCCTATTTAATGCAGTGTATCTGTGGTTAACCTGTCACTCCATGTCTTTCCCAGCAGACCTCTGGTTAAAGCTGCAGATGTGACTGTTATCAGTTATTTTTGATAAAATCCTTCTGCAAACAACATCAGTGATTAGATAAACTTTTTGAAATCTTAAAAAAACATTGAAAAGGTTTCACCACAACTTCAACATCTATAATATCTCTAATTAATCCCACCGCCCTCTAAAGTTTTTGATCTTTTACAGCATGAAGATGAGCTCCTGCAGATGCAGAAGAAGCTCAAGGGGACGGAGGATGAGCTGGATAAATACTCTGAAGCTCTGAAGGATGCCCAGGAAAAACTGGAGGTCGCCGACAAAAAGGCTGCTGATGTGAGTAACAGTCTTCAAAAAGCTGAGCGAAGAACGTTCTAGCAAGGATTTTCCTTCTGGGACACAGAGGAAGCGTACCTGTTTATAGTAATTACACTGAGTCTTAAAAAATGTTTTTTAGTTTCACAGATATGAGTTAGTCGGTGGAATCCAGTAGAAGCTTAAAAATAACCTGTCATCAAACTGGCAGCATCAACAATAAAGATGATGTATTGCATGGTTCTATTAAAGGTTCTATTAAAACATCTCGCCTGGGCAGCCATGCCAACAAACGACCCCCCTTTTCAGAGGCATAGCCCAGTATTGCAGGCTAACAAAGAACCGCAAACTAGGCTTGTCCCGATCCGATCCACGTATCGGATCG